ACGAGCTGTCCTTCCCGTGTGAGGGTGAGCCAGCAAAGCGGCCAGGCGGGGCCGAGCTCTGTCAGAGCTGGAGGGACGGGACGGGCTGGCCCTCTCCGCCCGGGCACCAGGGCACAGGTTTCCAGGCAGGCTAGCGGCGGGGGTGGCTGCGGGCGGTCCCCGCACCCAACGGGCATTAAGCACATCAGCAAGGCCTCACGCACCCCTTCCTGAATAAATTGGCCCAGAGCGAACCCTGTCCTGCCCCAGCCTTGCCTTCCGTTTCACTCACCGCCGTGCTTGTAAGGCGTACTCGATTCAGCGTCGTAGCAGAGGACGGTGTGACGTAGGGCAACGTGGGGGCGCGTCCCCCGCTCCGCGAGCGACGGCGGAGGCCCTCGGCCAGGGAATCCGTCCAGGTCGCGGGGAGGAAGGGTCGCGCGCACGCTGTAAACTTCTTTTGATGCTGTGCTTGTATTTGACCACGACTGGGCTGAAGCATGGTGTTTGCGTAACGGATCGTAGCATGGTCTCTAGTTTTTACGAATTCTCGGCACACGGTGTAGTCGTTCTCCCAATGAGCAATCCACCCGCGTATCCGAATCTGGCTCTCTTGAACTCGGCATCCCAGTAGCCTGGATCCGGTCCGGAAGGCGGGAACACCGCAGCAACCCGTGACCCGAGCTAGTCTGCTGAGGCTCCTCTCCATTCCCCTCAGCGTCGTCTTCCGGTTTATCGAGAGCTTAGGTCAGTCCTGAAGTTTTCCCGGCAATGTTTTCTGGAGTTGTGCAGAATCCCAGATCTCATTTGGAAAAAAAAAAAAAAAAATGTAGGATGACAGAGAGGTGCTATGGGTACGATTTTTAATAAAAACATCATTTTGTTCCTTATGTGCTCGTGATTTTCTTCAAGTATTGACGAAATGCCTCCTGAATTCTAGGCCTGTAAAGACTAGGTTCTGAGGCTCAGCCCCAGTGTGGTCCTGAACCACACGCACAGCCGTCCCAGGCCCCACGCCTGTCGAGATGCAGACGTCACAGGGATTTAAGCGCTCCCGGGGAGAGACACGTCAGGGGCACCACGTAGCCACGTATCCTGTGAACAGTGGCCTTCCTCAGCCTCAGCCCCCCCCCCCCCCCCCCCCCCCCCGCCAGACTCCACAGAGCCCGGAGGAGACCCTGCGCCCCACAGAACGTACTGTTGGCGGCAATGCAGGAATCTCCCCTCCGTGCAGGCCCCCCCACCCCGAGAGGCCTGGCTTCCCGCCTCCCCACGTCCCACCAGCCTCAGAGAGGGGTTCTCGGCCGTGGTGGGTTTCAGAATCCCCGGGAATGTGTACAAGTCCCGGTGTTCCGGTCACATCCAAATCAGCTAAGCCAGGATCTCTGGGGGTTGGGCCCAGACATTCGGTTCTGGTTCTGAAAGCTACCCAGGTTCCCACGCGCAGGCAAGGAAGACCTGCGCGGGGGAGAGGCAGGGCTGCCGGCCGCAGGGAGGATGGGGGTCCGGGTCGCAGGAGAACTGGGGCCTGTGGTCCCAAGTTCGCCCTTTTGCTCCAGAAGCCAGCACCGCCGTGGACAAGCCAGAGGTAAGAACATTTCCCTTGTTCTCCTTCCCACCCTCCAGAAATGTGAAATTGAAACCTGCACACTTTTCAGAAACCGCAGCCTCCGTGTCCCAGATAGTTGCCTTTACTGCACCCGTACCGTTTGCCAAGCACGTTCTGTGTCCTTCAACATTGTCGATCCACATGTGGCAGGCACAGTCAGGGCTCCCGTTTTGTAGATGAGGAAACGCCCAGAGAGGTGAAGCCATCCGCCCCAGGGTAGCCAACTGGCCCAGGGGCAGGGGGCGGTCCAAACCTAGGCGGCTGGGGGGCTGCAGAGCGGGGGTCCTGAGCCACCGCCCTGCCTTCCAGGAGGGGTCTGCTTCCCCCAGCCTTCCTGGGAGCCCGGGACGGAGAGCCTCGGAGGAGCCGGGTGCTGGTGGGCACGGCCCAGAGCCTGGCGGGAGTGTGCGGGCACACGGGCGGCCTCATCCTCCCCGGCGTCCCCTCCAGCGCTGACAAGAAGAGAGCGGACTCGTTAGCTCGGCCCGCGTCGTGATGACCACTGTTGTTGGGAAGTTAATGGCAGGAACTTCCAAAGGCAGCACCCGTCACGGAGAACAGAACCCCACTCCCTTGCTGGGTGACAGGTAGGTGGACCGTCTCGGGATGGAAAAGCGACGTGGGTGAGTGTCCCAGGCACAGAGCCCTGACAGTGGTTTCTCTGCTCTGAGGACAGGACGGGGAAGGTGCGAGAGCGTGGCGGCCACATGCTGGGTGCCCCCGCCTGGCTGGGAGGAGCCAGGACTCCCGAGTCCTGCAGAGCCAGGCCCCAGGCCCCCAGACCCCAGAGGGTGGGCCTGGAAGCAGCGGGGGCCACGGGGGC